CCTCCCTCCCTCCCTCCCTCCCTCCCTCCCTCCCTCCCTTTCTCTCTTTCTCTCTTTCTTTCTTTCTTTCTTTCTTTCTTTCTTTCTTTCTTTCTTTCTTTCTTTCTTTCTTTCTTTCTTTCTCAAAGTCTGACTGTGCAGCTCAGGTTAGCTTCCAACCTGTGGTCCTTCTGCTTTTACTTCCTGCAGTGCTGGGATCACAGGTGTATGTGTGGGCTGTGCCTAGCACAAGTGTACCCTCCCTGCTCTCTCAAGTTCGTATTCATTCCCTCTCTTTCTCTCTCTGTGTCTCTGTCTCTTTGTCTCCCCCACCCTCTCTAGTTTAGTTGATTGAATTCATAAGATACAGAGCACACAGATTGGGAGGGCTAGCTGTAAAACTACAGTCTGATGACCAAGGAAATGTAGCTCCATCCTTCAATCCAGCTCTCTAATCCAGACAGAGGAGAACAAGAAACAGGAGCCACACAGCCCCTGTCTAGTATTTACCCTTCAGTCACCTACCAGGTTCCTGCTCTAATAGGGCTCCTCAAGGCTCTTTCCATGGCTAGTCAGCTGGTGCAAAGATAAGCACCTTAGATACAACCACAAATAACTAACAGCCGCCTGGAGCTCCAAGGACGCCCATTTGCATGTCCATGCTTCTGCTACCTGAGGCCCCAGTGAACTCTGAGAGCTCTAGCTGGCAAAACACCCTACATTCCTGGGTTTTCTTTATCTCTTACAGTCATCAGGCCTCCAACAAGATCGCTGGTGTGAGGGTCTTCATCTTTGGTTCCCAGCTGAGGGGAGTACAGTTCTGTGGTCCGCAAAATCTCTAGAACTCTGTCCAAGGCTTCTGCTACTGTAACTGGACTGTTTTCTTGAGCTGCATTGATTATATTTATAACCTAAGAAAGCAAAACAGACAGAGAGAGAGAGAGAGAGAGAGAGAGAGAGAGAGAGGGAGAATAAGCCCGAGGGCACTAAGATACTACTTACTTCTCAGAAGTCAGACATCCTCAGAACTCAGGGCCCATATACCTAGCTCAGAGAATAGACCCTCTCGCTGAAGCATGCTCTACAGGCCACACTGCTCCACAACATCCCATCTCAGGACTTTGCTTCCCAGGATCCTTTGCCGACAACCCTCCCTAGCTGTCTTCCATGGGTTGGAGTTCCATGGTTTGGTTCTCTCTCACTGCTTTTCCAGAAATGGCCCTCGTTTCCATGACTCTGGACACACACAGCCATAATAGTATTGTCAGGTTTACCTTGCAGACCGCAGACTTGGAGACTTTCAAAAGTCTCCCTGACTCAGCCACCACAGTATCTTATGTGCCTCAAGTCAAACCCCACCTTATTCTCTGAAAGGAGGCAAATGGTAACAACATGAAAGGTGAGCTGACCTTGTCTGGGCTGAGGACAAGGGCTCTTCTCCCCAGAATCTGCTTGTTCATCACACTTCCTGCTCATTCCTCAACTCACCAAGTCCAGATGATTCTTCCCCTAGACATTTTCTGGTCTATCTCTTTCTCTCCCCCTCTACCACCTCAACACTAGCCAAACTACTACTACCCTTTCCCGTCTGGAATTCCAGAAGGGCTCCCAAATGGCCTCCTCTCTTGCTGTCGCCCACCCATAGCATGGTGGCTGCACTCTTTACAGGGACATCTGGACTTGACCATGCCATGTTGATCTAACCTCCATTGTCGCACCTCTGCTGTCCACATGCCAGCCTCCTGGCTTCTGTCTGTTTGGTGGACAATCTCTGCCTGACTTCAGTGTTGGAACATCTCTAAGCTGCTCTTTGCCACTCCTGCCCTCAAAGTCTCCCCCTGACCAATGTGATTTTCAGGCTTAAGTTTGGCTTCAAACATGGCTTCCTCTACAGAGAAAACTTTCCTGACTACCATCCCACCCAGCCTACTTCTAGCCTTACTCTCGCGTCTCTCACAGAGCCCTTGCATGGCTTCCTTCACAGCGTTGATTGTATTGTACAACCACATGTTTGTTTACGATGCATTTGGTTAATGTCTGTCTTTCTCTCTAGGCCTTAACTCTGCTATCAGAAGACTAGAGCTTTAGGGCACAGCCCAGGTCTGACACTGACCACACAGTGAGGGTCACAACTGTTACTTACCTTTGTGATGGGGGCCTCAATGGTCATGGAGTGGATCCTTGCCATGGAGGGGTAGCGGCGATTCTGTAGGCTTGGCGCTGGAGAGAAGGCATAACAGTCTTATCTGGTGCGGGTGGTTCAGTTTGGGCTAAATACAGCCAAGAAGCCCCCTCATAGATGAGGTCTTGTTCTTAGGACCACCTTCTTCAAAACTCGGTGAGTCTGACCATATCTTGTCCCTCTGGGGCTGGCTACCCAGTCCCACCAAAGTCTGGTGGCAGAGAGCTTGGCAAGCCCCACTCCACAGGGTAGGTTGGAGAAGGCTGACTGGCCCAGTGCCTCATCCCCATATCCCAATAATGCCACAGGACTCGCTTTCCCATGGATCACTAAAGTCCTTTCAGATAGCCCTGCCCTTTCCTTCCAAAGCCACAGGACAGATGAATGTGTACCCACTCCATGTTAGGACTGGGAAATAAATGTCTCAGTATGAACTGGTGAGCTGGGCCAGCCATGTTCCTCCTCAGCCATTAGGTTCACGATGCCCAGGACCTGATGGTTCTGGCTCTAACCAGGACACATTCATTCTAAAATGACTTCAGTTTTTGTTTGTTTGTTTGTTTGTTTTGTTTTTGAGAAGATGACTATTTGATGTGGTTTAAGATTCAAATGGTAGAAGCCTTCCTTCAAAGGCCTGTTGTCAACATTTCTAACCTTCCCTGGGTGCCCTACAAGCCAGAGCTGTTTCAGAGATGAAAGGACTTTACCAGGCGCCCTCAGTCGGGCCCTGGACCCAGGGCTTCAGTCATTGCTGGCTTCTGCTGTGCTCCCCAAGCCCCACCTTGCCTGTGTAAGACCACAGAGCTGCTCCAAACTCTGGGACAGCCTGGCTCAGATGTCCTCATCCAGCATCCTGTCCAGCACGCTCTGAGCCCAGCTCAGGCTCCTCGCTCTCTGTCCCTTTTACATGCCATGTGTCAGTCTGTCCGGCTGGGCAGAAGCTCTGGCTTGTCTCTAGGGTCTTCAGTTTTTTTCTATTTAAGCCACTTCTCTGGTATTCGGTCCTTCCATTGTTACTCAAAGGACTGGAAACTCACTTCCATCACTTGAACTCCCCCTTTATTCTTTTAGGTCCCACTCCCCCTTCCAGCACAGGCACTAACTATCACCTCTCAGGCCCTTAGAACTGCCTGACTAGTTGCCACATTAAAAAACTGACAAACTAATGTGGGTCGCAGTATGGTTCAGTGGCTCAGGACTTGCCTAAGTGTGTGAAATCCTGGGTTCTATCCTCAGCACCACAGGAAAACCAGAACATTCTCTCTCTCTCTCTCTCTCTCTCTCTCTCTCTCTTATACACATACACAGAAAGAGAGAGAGAGGAGAGAGAGCTTGACCGACTGACTTGGAGACAGAAGTAACCCCAATAAGTGAGTAAAATGTATCAGCCTGCTCTCTGCTCTCTGGTTCAAATCCCTGCTCCCTTTCACTCCATTCTCTTTCCTTCTTAGTTCATGGGATACTCCCATGTTTTATGTGTTTTTCAGCACTCCTGTTTCGCACAGGAGTGCACCTGCAGATCTGGCCTCAGACCCTCTGGTCTTTATCCACACACAAGCAGTCACATATGCATAGCCAGTTCAAAGCTGCTCTATAGCCACGGAAGCTGAAGCCCCAGCCCCAGCCCCAGCCCCAGCTCCGGTCTCTGCACCTGAACCTGCACCAGCTTCTGTACCTGTGCCTGCCTCTGTACCTACCCCTGCCTCTATACCTACCCCTGCCCCTGCCTCTGTACCTACCCCTGCCCCTGCCTCTGCCCCTGCCCCAACTCCTGCCCTGTACCTGCCCCTGCCCCTGCCCCAGACCCAGGCCAGTACCCAGGTCCTGCTCTTGCACCTGCCACAGCTCCAACCCCTGCCCCTGCCCCTGAAACTGCTCCTACCCCTGCCCCTGCCCCTGCCCTGGCCCCTGCCCTGGCCACTGCCCTGGCCCCTGCCCTGGTCCCTGCCCCTGCCCCTGTCACTGTCCTGGTCCCTGTCACTGCCCCTGTCCCTGCCCTGGCCCCTGCCCCTGCCCTGGCCCCTGCCCCTGCCCCTGTCACTGCCCCTGCCCTGGCCCCTGCCCTGGCCCCTGCCCCTGCTCCTGCCCCTGTCACTGCCCCTGCCCCTGCCCTGGCCCCTGCCCTGGTCCCTGTCACTGCCCCTGTCACTGCCCCTGCCCCTGCCCTGGCCCCTGCCCTGGCCCCTGCCCCTGCCCCTGTCACTGCCTCTGCCCCTGCCCTGGTCCCTGCCCCTACCCCTGTCACTGCCCCGGGCCTGTACCTGCACCAGCCCTGGCCCCTGATCCTGCAGCTACCCTGCCCCAAACCCTGCACCTGTTCTTGCCACAGCCCCTGAACCTGCACCTGTCTCTGAACCTGTGCCTGCAGCTGCTCCTGCCCCTGCCCCAGCCCTGGCACCTGCCCCTGCCCTTGCCTTGTCTTGAATTGCAGCTTCCCAGGTACCCTGTTCTCCTTGGGCCCAAATGAGAGGTACCTACAGACCCTGCCACTTTTATGTCTCCTATTCCCCTGACTCCTGACTTTTTATCTCCCCCCAAATCCAGTTGGCTCCTTGAGCTTGATTCATTAAACTCACAAAGTGTTTTTCGAGGTTCTGACTCACAGTGCCTGGCCTTTCACTGAGGAAAGAGCACACGGGTGCGCACTGAGACTGGGAAGCCTGGACAATGCCTGGCCCCTTGCTAGCACCCAAGGATGACCTTGCCTGGCTACTGGAACTGCATTGCGCGTGTAGTTATGTGATCTGGCGCATGTTGGACCATGAAAGAAGCAGTCCACGGTCCCCTCAGGGAGAAGAAAATGACTACAGAAGGCCAAGAGAGTTTATTTACTTAAATCCTAAAACACTTTCAGTTTATTGGAAGAAAAGCTGACTCCAGTTGAAATCCTTCTCCTTGGAGTTTCTACACGATAAAATGTTTGAGCATGTCACTCTGTCATTTTCTACACTTTAAAAAGGTCGAGGAAATCTGAGCAACTTCTTACCATCACTGCCTCGGGAAGATATTGATTTCACATCAATGGACTCTTTCCTCCTGCTCTTGTGTCTGAACAAATGAGGCTCTGGGGAGTTCAAATGAGAAACAGAAGGAGGTTGGCTTTCAGCATATCTGAGTGTGAGCTTAAACCTTTCCCCTGAGTCTCCAAAGAAAATGATACTTTTTAAACTCTAAAAAGTAAATCCAAGAATTGAGAAACCACTTTCTCTTCAAATCAACACAAATGATCAGTCATTCCAGCAGGAAAATGTCTTTTTCTTTGGGAACTCTGTTATATCATGGAAGTGGTGTTTATTAAGGGACATTTAGTTCCATAATCAAAATGTCATCCTGAAAACAAACCTTAAAGGAAATGTTTTTTTGGGTTCACCTTGACTAAAGGGCTACACTCACCAGGGTAGGAAAGCTCTTAGGGGAATATCTGGAGAATTAAAACCGGAGTGATATCCACAGATATTTGGACAGGTTTGGGGGTACTTCTGAAAGTCAGTCAGATGATTCTCTAGCTTCTCTGAGAGAGGACTGCATCAGATAACGTCCTGCAGACCCTGGAAGGAAATCTGAATGCTGAAACATTCTGTGGAGCTCATGCCAAAAGTCAGACATCACCAGTGAGCAACAGGAGGTAAAAAAAAAAAAGTGGCAAGGTGACTATGTTGGCCTCAGAAATGTGCACCGTAAGCACTTTCCTTCCTGTGAGTAACTCCTGAATGAGAAGATGTAACCAGAATGTCCCCAGAAGCTAGAACCACTCCAAAGAGAAGGCAACCCCAGTGCCAGCAGGGGAGTGCTTTTTTTCAGGTGCCATTACATGAGCGGATCCAAGCAGGGAAACCATGAAGCACAGTGCTTCCACAGGAATCACCAGTGAGACAGCCTAATATTGAAGAAACCAACTGTAGAGCCAAATTGTCCAGGTTCTGGCTTAGTCTTCCATCTAGTAGCTATGCAGCCTTGGAGGTGTCACTTAACTTTTCTGTGCCCCAGTGACTGTAACAGGGGGATAGGTAGAGGCTATCAACAGTGGGCAGGGCATGAGCTAATCCTTGAGCAGCCTGCGGAAGAGCACCTCCACACAGGCAGCCTACAGTCTGTACCTGCTATTAATTCCACCTGTTCATTTGTACAACACACAAAAATTCCTTACAGATTACCTAAACCTACATGCTATTATTCTTCCTGATTTCGTCTCATAGAATTATGAGAATCTACAGCAACTGACCTGGTTATAAGTTTGGAAAAGTTATTCTTCTGTGAGGATCATTTAAATTGGAAAATTCATTATTCATTCTTATGAGAGACCCATAAAATGAATTGAAAATTTTAGTCATAGAAAAGAACTTAGTGACCAAGGGACCTTGCCTCGCATAGAAATAGCTACTGAGAACCTACTGTGTGCCACGCTACATTGTGCAGCATGCTTTAAATAAAACAATCATTTAACATTGTTTCGGAAAGCTACATGGTGCCGTCCCCATTATTCCAATAAGGAGTTGAAGCTGGAAAGACTAGCTAGATAGCCCAAGGCCAAAGAATTGATAAACGATGGCCCCTGTGCTTTTCGGGAGGAAAGCTGCTAACTAATAAAGGATCAGTGCTGCTGCTCTGGCTCTCCAACCCTGCCACGCCACCACTTAAGTTTTAGCAATTCCCTGGCCTAGGGTGACAAATGCCATCTTGAACCCTTCCTGAAGCGATGATAAACCGGGTCGACAAGGCCCCCTTAAGCAGAGAGTAAGTCGCTGTGCTCACCTGTCTGAGTGTTGTCCCCAGAATCACGATGAATCCTGTGAATCTAGAGTCGTTCCAAAGTTTGGCAAAAAGAGAAAGAAATTTTACGTCACTTGTCACATTCGGCAACTTAGTTTTAAAAAGCTCCAAAGACGTCCAGAAAGCAAGGTGTGGCACAGATTGCATGAAAGATGAGCGACACACAGCGACTGTAAGACTACGAATGCTCTTTGCTCTCAGACGCTTGGTCAGGAGCCTGAGAGCAGGAAAGGGCCCAGGGGAGGGACTCTCCAGGTCCAACTAAACCTCCAGCTAACCCCATCCTGACAGTCTGTAGAAATGCAGAGAGACAAAAGCCAGCATTCAAGTCAACATTTAAAAAGCTGATATGTAACCTGTTTGCTTCCAGTAGGCCATCTTTGTTTTTCTGAAATACAATGTCCGAGTTAAATCTAAAATTCCTGTTTTTAGAACCCAGTCCTTAAATGTTTTTCAAATGTTCCTCAATTGCTGACAGAGTCATTGATAAACCATTTCCCTACCAGGCCTGAACTTTAGATGCCATTTTGCACCTAGTTCTTTTCTCATTATCGGGTTTGTTTCATGCTAATGATTTGGTGGGAATGTTCAATAGACATCAGTCAAATGACTAAAGGAAGTCATCCGCACTAGGAAGAAGACACATGCTTTTTGTGGACTCTGCGTTTCTTGCATTTACACCTGACCAAGGCACTGCCGGTGGGCACATGGTCATTCCTGCTTGGTCCCAGGCTTCTCTGCTAAATCCAGGGCTCAGAATGGCCAACCTCTGCAGCACTCAAGGAAATGTTTTAAATGCAGGGGAGGAAGACTAGCATGACTTAGCAGCTGTGAGAGTCAGAAAGCTCCCTCACGTCAAACACAGGTAGACCGTCCCAGGCTTCATGGAACCACTGAAGAATAATCAGGTAGGGGCTGGAGAGACGGCTCCGTTGGTAAAGTGCCTGCCACATAAGCTCTGGGTTCGGATATCTAAGATCCATATACAGTCTAGATATGGGGTAGAGAGAGGCAAATTCCTGCCGCTCACTGGCTGGCTAGTCTAGCTGAACTGATAAGCAGCTTCAGTGAGAGACCCTGTCTCAAAAAATAGGGCAGAGAGAGACTGAGGAAGACACCCGAGATTCACTCCTGGGCTCCACATGCATCTTGTGTGGACCAGTATGCGCATGTGCACACACCCACAGGGACATGCGCACTGAATCGACCAGGTGAAACTGCGCTGTTAAAATTAGGCTTCCTACAGACCCTCCTACTCTGTCCATTTCACATCCTCACAGAACAGCCATGCACACCCCATGACCCAACTTGATATCTTGGTCATGTGAGTCACTGACTCCCACCTCACACTTATGGGACCTTTTATTATTTCCCCTGTGAACATCATTTCATGCTTTCCTTCAGGAAAAAAGACCATTTTCGACAAAGCTACTAAGCTCAATGCACATTTTTGTGTGTTCAATATTAATAAAACACTTGCTTCTTTCTGCCTCAGCAATCAGCTCTTGCTTAAAAGCTTTTCTCTTTAATCAAAATACATATACCTCTAGGAGGAAAGCCCAGGACTCTCTATGTTGTGAAAAACAAAAACAGTAACACCCCCACCCCTCCCCTGCACCAACTCCCTTTTCTCATTTCTCAAAGGTTCACAGTTCCTTAATTTGGCTCCCATGACCTACACTGTGGGCTGTGTGCCATGTGTTCTGTTCGGAGTTGAGCCAGCTCAGCACTGATTTAGGGTTAAAACGTGTTCTAGCCACTGACAGGGGTGGAGGAGGGATGATGGAGCAGGGAGGGAGGGCACTAGAGCTCTGGCTCATCTTTTTCCACACACAAAGCCCTTGGCACTTTGAGCTGAACCGGCTGCCCGTGGAGGCACGCACGTGAGTTAGCACCCCGGCCTGGTGGGCTCTGCACCCGCTCCTAGCAGCGGAGGCCGGAGGTCCTTTGCTCTGACAGGGCCTCCCAGGCCGTGTCAGCCTCTGCACCAAGATACTGCGCTGTGACCCCCCCTCACAATCTTCTGAACAGAGGATAACTGGGAGCCCCTCCTCCTGTCACATCCCACCAATCTTGGGTTTCTCATGTAAGTTCTCTGACTGATGATCTGCATGGAGAACCCACCCATTTACAGACTTCATGTGGAGGATAAAACCTCCGCTCAGAACAAGATTTCACTCCCAAGATCTAGAAGTATCAATGTTTACAACTCAATAGGAATTATTCCAAAATGCTTTTCCTCATAACCTTTAGTGGGACTCATGGAGAATACAAGCAAGGAATGGGTAGCCCCGTGGTCTCTGATGGTCCAGGAGATGCTCAGGGACTTGAAGACATACAGGCAGGAAGGAGTATGACTCTCACCCCATGATGACAGCTGTTTCTCATGTCAGTGAGTGCTGGCAGCTTTCTGCTTGCAATTGCTTCATTCCAAATCTTCTAGGAAAAGCAGCCATTCCCTCGGACATGCGGGATAGGGAGGTGAGCTTACAGTTTACAGGGCTATAACCAGACAGACTTTCTCTAGTTTGCTACCTGTTACATGGTTCTTCAGCTAAAGGCCTCAGAAGTGTTGTCCCAGGCCAGGCTTGTCATCTTAGGGCCTGAAAACACCTCTCAGATTATCACAAACAGCCATTCCTCTGAATTCTGGGAAGGCGTAAGCTTTGCCAAGTGCATGCTTGCAAGATCAGGAGTCACTGAACTGCACATACTGTCACCCCAGCTCAGATTCCAGCCTGCTGTATGCTATGGATTGCTGTAATTGTCTGCTCTGATGGAAACATTAATTATAGAAAAACGATTTACTATTTTCCTACCATTGTTCCTCAGCATGTAAATATCAGTTAGTATCCCTTTGGCCTGCATTGTGTCAGACTGTTTGATTTTTGAAGTGAATAAAACTTCATGATTTTATTGTCTTAGTAACACAATCAGCTTAGAACAGGCTGGCTTGGGCCTTTCTCTCCTGATTGGCTCCCTATTCAGAATGCTCTCAACAACTAGCAGGCAGATTCTCTCATCATCAGCTTGACAGACTCCTCACAGTCTTCATGAATTCTGGGTGGGATTAGGACAGAATTTCCAAGGACTTCCAAAACGGCCCCACGCGCACTTCTGCCATCTTGTACTATGTCTTTTCGCAAGTTGGTATTCTCAACATTGATGATCATAAAATCAGAACATTGATAAACCCTGGAAAAGACTGAAGGTGATCTGTGTTCTGTAATACCAAATGCTCAGCCAACATTTAGCCCTTTATGTAGAAGTAAAAATCCATCCAACTAGTATGCAAATTTGCTGTCATCTTTTAAAACATGTTAAAAATACACATTTGTCAAGGAATTGTTTTAAATTCTCTCTATAATTTATAATCAGAAAATGTTTGACTTACATACCTATTTTTTGCATCTATCTTGGGCAAAAAGAAGTTGTAATTGGAAAAGGTTTATGACATTCTTACATCATCCTATAAGGGACAAAAATGCCAGCTGTCATGGAGCTAGGTAAATTTCAGTGATACTGAATTTTATATATTTTCACAATTCAGGGACTTCCATTAGCTTTCTAAATCTCTATCAAGCCCTTGAATAAATGATTTTCTACATTTGAAGAAAGTATCCTCTCATCACCCACAAGAATGGCTAAGAAGAAGCTGGTAAGTATAAACACTTGGAATACCCTCATGTTGGAAGGAGGATAAAATTATACAATCCCTTCGAATGCCGGGTCTGATACTCTTGTACCAATTTATACAAACATCTCCATGACAAAATATTACCCCAGGCAAACAAAGATGTTTCATCACAAAAGTAGGGTGGTCATCCCAAAAGCAGGGCATTCAAGGATGGTCAAAGAAGCCCAGGGCCAGAAACATCCCAGGACTACACTAGCAAGGCAATAGACTAAAAAAGAAAACCCAATGAACTAACTAACTAAAATAAACCTTAAAATAAACAGGACGATGCTAATTGTGAGTCTCAGAAACCTTGTAGTGAGTAAAAGAAGCAGACAACAGAGCCCACGCTGGATGGAGCTCTAGCAAGCCCATTATTAAATAATGTCAAAGCAGGTCTTCTGGGAGCAGGAGGAAGGGGTGCAGGGAGAGACAGGCTCTGAGGGCCTCAGGAGAACTTTGGAGTGGGTAAAATTTGATTGCTTTCTTTGTTTTTGATGATGTGGGTGTTAGAGACATGTTCTTAGTCAAACTCCAGGGAAATTGTAAGATTGTACATTTTCTACCTTAAAATAACATTATTAAACTCTAGTTAATATGTATGCTGATAGGACACGCAGTAAGCTACACTGATGGGTGCCTCATGCTTAATAGTTGGCAAGCAATGTAAAACAGAGAAGGAGGCAATGAAGGATGAGTTCAGGACGTAGACAGAACCATGATGGAGCCCTGTGCTAATGGTGGGACTGAGTTAGTAAGAGAGCAAATGGGTACTCGAATGCTTTATTTAAAAAGCACTTTAAAAAAATTTTATTTACCACCAAAATTTTTATATATGAACTTTAATAAGAAAGTATTGGGTGGTGCATGACTTTAATCCCAGCACTCAGCAGTGGCAGGCGGATGACAGAAGCAGGTGGATCTCTGTGAGTATGAGATCAGCCTGGTCTCGCTAGTGAATTCCAGGACAACCAGAGCTAGGTAACAACACCCTGTCTCAAAACAACAACAACAAAATAGAGTAAAATAAAAACTCCCACTTCCTATTGGCCTCAGGCAGTGAGACTCTCCGGTAGGGCCTGGCTCTGGTTAGTGCTCCCAATGCACTGCTGAGCACAGACATGCTACCCCAGCTCTCAGGCCCCTTCTGGGAAGTTTCTCAGTCTGCCGTCTTCCCCTCACGCTGCCCCACTGGTCTTGTTCACATGTGACTCCCACCAGGAAGGTTTTCAAAAGCGCTCTTCTCCCTTCAGCCCTTCCTGAGGTCGCGTGCTCTCGATGGACTTCTAGGTGAGCTATTCTCAAAGGACTTCTCTCAGTGAGCTACCACGGTCTGCGGCTTAGCATCT